CTCACGGGTCTTGCAAAAATTGGAGGAAATAAGAGCAATTAACGTAAACCCAAGCCAATTCAAGGAAAAACAAAGGGATTTAATGGCTGTTTCTTACCCAAAACCCAAGCAATTCGCCCCCCACAGGCAAGAGCAACCGGCGGTGAGGAGCAGAGAGCATAGCAGATCCGATTTTCCAGCAGGGGGAGGGGAAATTTCTGGGTTCTATTTGGGTTCTAGAGCAAGAAGGAAGGAGAAATCTCCAAGCTTTCTCACCAATTTTCCAAGGCATGGCTGGGTTCCTCTTTTTTTTTCTCTTCGGGTGGCTGCAACGGGAAGACAAGAAGAAGAAGAGCAGAATCGGGCTGGAGAAGAAAGAGGAAAAGGGAGAAAAGAAATAAGCCATCCTTATCCAAATTCTCCTCTTTTAAGTCCCTCAAGTTTGGACATTTCGGCTCTTAAGCCCAAAACAATATTTTCTCACACAAAAACCCTTACTTAAATGCTAAAATAGCACAAAATTTTGGGGTATTACAAGAAGAGACCCTTCAACTGATCAATATTTATTAGATAGATTATGAAGAAGAATTGGGAAAGTAAAATGGGCAAATTTTGAAATCAGTAGGTGAATGTAATGTTGACTCAATGTACTTCAAGAGGGGGAGTAAATTGGAGTTCCAAAAATTCTCCAATTTTTGCAACCACAAAACCAAAAGTAAAGAGAGTAGAGAAGAAGAGCTTGCTCAATGATTTTATAGAGGTTCGGTCCAACCACTTGGAGTCTAGTCCTCTACCTTGGCTTCACTCACCAAGGATTTCCTCCACACTCTTCACTAACAACAACAAAGGTGGCTTAAAGGAGCCACTCAATCCTTTTACAAGAAGAAGGGTGTTTCTCTCAAATCTCACCCCTTTACACTTAAACCCCAAGAATCCTCTCTACAAATTACTCTTGAAGGATTAATCACACCCCTAAGATCACTCACAAATAGAACAAGAAGAGGATTACAAGTAAAGATCTCTCAAAGATCAAAAACTCAAGTTAAAGCATATATAGGTAGGTAAAGATATTCAATGCAAGGCTCTAAAACTTTCAGATCTTCTACCAACCATATTTATAACCCTATGGTCGAAAATAGCTGTTACTAGCCATTGGGGGTCATTTAATGCTCTGCAGGTCGCTTAATTCGAGTTGCAGAATTGTCAGTACAACCGGCTTACACTTCTAGCGTAGGCACTTTACAGCTGGCTTAACTTTTCTGTAGCCGGTTCTACGGGTTTCCTGCATTCTGTTTTCTTTGTAGAGCCAGCTTAAAAATTCTGCAGTCGGCTTTGCGGGTTTCTTGCACATTCTGTTTTCTTCCACAGCCGGTCGTAAATCATAAAGCCAGCTTTGGGATTCCAACTTTAAACACATTAAATAATCTTCAAATAACTCAACCGTTGTGCATTAAATGCACCCTCACAACCGACTGCAAAGTTGGAGCCGATTGCAAAGTTGGAGCCGGCTACAAAGTTAGAGCCAGTTTTGCATCTTTCCTCCGTGCGTGCCAAACAATTGACTTTTAAGTTTTTACCAGTACAGCCGACTACAGCTTCTAGAGCCAGCTCTCTGCACTTCCACAGCTAGCTGTAAGTTTCAACACCCGGCTCTCTGCACATTTTCAAGCCTTTTGGTCCATTTTTAGTACAATCCAAGTTTACTTACTTTGCAATCTTTTGATATTTTAACTACACACTTAAATGAACCAATTAGTCACTCAAATGTGTTTTGTAATAATCAAAATCATAGATACAACATGTAAATTTCCAATGCATTGAAAATATAAGACAAAAGTGATGCCTTAAGTGAGGCTTTTAATAATAGAATAGGCAAACCAATAGTTTTATTGATATGTAGCAGGTAAAAAATTTTGAAAATATGGTAGACAATAAACAGTGAAATGCATTCCCAAATAGGAAAAAGTAAGATAATCAAGGGAGATACACGAACATTTTTTAGATGTACCAAAAATAAAGATGAGTTGAACAAATTAACATTATACTGAAGTTAAAACAATAGCACATAACATAAATCCAGAAAACATCAAAACCAACTTTACGATAGAAGCTTGGTAATAAAACAATAAAATGCAATAAATCGAAATACATTAATAAGGAAAAAAAAGAGCAAAAACTTACCTGGATGAGACCAAACTTTGATTTTGGCTTGATCGACCTTGACAAAGTTTGCGTCTTAGGCCTTGAGTGTCCACAAAAGTAACACAATCATCAAACTTGGGAGGCTAAACACTACAGTGGAAGGGATCGGGTGGCGATTTTGGAAGTCAGGTTAGGATTTGACGATTGAAGACAAAGACTAATGCGAAGCCATGGACTTTGTAGATACTTAGGTTTAAGAAATGGATAAGATGATTTGGGTTCGATTTGTTTCCTAATTGAGAGGCCACGGGACATGTTGAATAGACTAGAGAATAGGTGGCATGAAAACACCTAACGACAATGGGTTCTAGCATCGAAATGGTTCGACGGCCATGGCTTCATTGAAAAGGAGGTCTAGTAGTGATGATGAAGAAATGAGATTTCAATTTCTTTTTACCGGAGAAGGAGTTAGCATAAAAACACCTGACGATAGTGGGTTTCAACATCGAAATGGTTCGGCGGCCATGGCTTCATCGAGAAAGAGGTCCGACAACAATGATGATGAAATGGGATTTATTATTATTATTATTATTTTGGAGAGGAAACCGAAGTTTATCTAGGCATCAAATCAAATAATCAAATAAGACAATGGGAGGAAGCCCCCTTCTCACATTGCTACAGTTTTTTTCAATTTTCCTTTTTTGTCCTCTAAGTTTCCCTACTCTATTTCACAAGTTCGGAGTGGTTTTTTTGGTCATTTGATACTGAATTTCCACTTTTGCCCTCACAACTTTGCTTCTCCATTTCACCTGTTATGGGGGGCATGCCTGTCATTTCGTGACCTCTTCCCATTGTGCCCTTCCATCTCCGCTTCTCCACTTTACATATGGGGTGGTTTTTGGGTCATTTCAACACACAAAGGCAGGTTGCTCTTTTCCGGTCCTATGTTTTGCCAGTGGGATTTCCATTTTCGTGTTTGATTCGGTCTTCTAAGCCCTTGTTTGGATAGAAAATAGTAAAGGGAAGGGAAGGGAATGGAGGAAAATAAAAGGAAATGGAGGGGGAGGAAAAGAAAGGGAAGGGAAGAAAATAAAAGGAAATAATTTGTGTTAATTTTGTTTGGATAAATAAAAATGAGGAAAGAGAAGGAAAGGAAAGGATTGTATTATTTTATATTTAGATAATTAAGATAAAAGGAAAAGAAAGAAGAAAAAGATTTAAATTTATTTTAAATTTATTAATTTATCCTTTAAACTTTTAATG